GTTCATCCGTGTTGTAGCATGAATCTGTGCTGCATAACTATTCCATTTTAAGGTTATGCCACCTGTTATTTTTGCACTCATCTGCTGAGGGAGTTCATTGATTCACGGTAATTTGGTTCCACCATCTCCAAAAAACCACAAGGACATTTTTCTTCACTTATATTTGCTCTTCCCCATGGAAACTTTCTCCACTTCTACCTGTGTTCTGAGTTCCTGTGTATCTAGCTAGAGAAGGAAAAATATTCAGGTACATTTCCGTTTAATTTTCTAAACCTTTTTTTTATTATGAAATTCATCATTTCTCCGAAAGAGATTGTAAATTGAATATTCACAATTTCAGGAAGAATAATGAATGGAAACCACATCGACCCATAGCACATCTACCCACCCAAAGCCTCTTCATTCTTCCCACTGCCCAATTTGCCTCAGTGCTGATGTTGGTGTTAATCATTCTATTGTTTTCTTTACATTCCTCCCCCACACCTTCCCAGGGTGCATCTCCAAAGAACACATAGTTTGAAACAGTAAGAACTAGACACAAACTAGCTGAGTGAGGAAAGGATAATGTAGCTATCAGGTGAGGCCCCAGCAGGCAGTGACCCTAAGAGAGGTGCTCATTCTTGGGGGGAAGTCCCCTGGGATCAACTGGAGCCCCTCCTGAAGACAGCAGTCAATGCCCCAGAGGAAGAGAAAGGATCCCTAGATTTGTGTATCTGTCCTTGCCGGATGTGGGCAGGTCCTGGTTCTCCAGTAGGAATATTGTCAGGGATTATCTGCCCCACATTTTCTGTGCCTTGGCTTAGTATGGATCCCAGGAGCAGTCTGAGATCACTTCATTGGGAGGAAGAGAGATTATTCTTGGCTAATGGGGACCCTGTGACATGGCTCTTGTCAAGACAAGCCTAGCGCAGACAGGATGTAGAAATGAAAATCCAGGCCACCCATACCTGAACATTACAGGATGCTGTCATTGCTGGCAGCCCCTGGCAGATGTGCTTCCTCATAGGTGAATCATTCTGGCTATTGCCTATCAGGGAAAGGCACTAATGGAGAGGACCATTAGAGAGAGGTGGGCAGAGGACACAATGTTTGTGAGGCACATGAGATTGTCCTTACCATCCCCACAGACTCCACTCTGCCTGGACTCCCCTCATCCAGAGACGTGAGCTTTACCCTTTGTGCAGGGAGGGCTCATGGACAGTGGTCAACCAGCCTCACTACTAGGAGGAGAGAGGATCTGGAGATCCACCTGCTTCTGGAACAGCTTTCACTTATTTAATTTTTAATTTGTATCAACTCATCACTTCCATACTCACAACTGATCGAGATTTAAAAATAATATGTCAGGTTGCAACTTTTGCAGACTTGGGACTGGACTTTGTCAGGTCTAAGTCAGTTAACAATTGTCAATATGCATCCTGGCTTCCAAATTTCTGTTGTTGTCTCTATCTCTGTTCCTTTGTCTCTTGTAGAAAACTCTGGCATATGCCTATAACCTTCCATACAGTTTTAGTGGGATTTAGGAATAGTAGACCTAGTTGGGTATTCACTCAATTTCACCTGCAATGGCCAGAACGAGGATCTTCTTGTGACTGGAGTTGGTGTTGTAAGGGTTGGGAGAAGGGAGAGAGAGATAGAAAGTGTGTGATAGATTCCTCAGGGAGCCAACTTCTGTAGTTGATGTTTTGCTAATAAATCAATAATTAATGGAGCCAAAGAGCGGTCTCGAAAGGTGTCCACACAAACAAGAATTGTTTATAATGAGCCTTGAGGTGGTTTTCTTCATGTGTGTTATGTTTGGGATTTGGTGACCTTCTGGAGATGTGGTTTGTTTCTGTCACTGTCTCCTCTCCTTTGGAAATTCAAATTATATGTGTTACTCAGTCACTTGAATTGGTCCCACATTCACTGATAATATTCCATGTTATAGAATTAATTTTTCCCTGTGTGTTTGCTTTGGACAGTTCCATTGCTGTGATTGGAGGTCACTAGTTTTATTCCCAGGACCCAATCTGCCATTAATCCCGTCTTGTGCACTTTTCATTTACAGTACCTCCACTTTGTGCTTCATTATATCTTCTGTTACTTGGCTAAGAATTTCAATATTTTCATTCCTTTTCCGAGGCTTTGTTTCCTACATCATTTTTAAAAAAGTGGTTTAAAGTCTTCATGAGCAAGTCCAGCATGTCTCTCAGATAGGAGGTGCCTTTTTAAATTTTGAATTTTATTACAGTTGAGCACATGTCGAGTATTTTGGATTCTATCCTGGAAGTAGCCATCATTCTACGATGAAACAAGGGGTCTTCTTTAAATCCTATATTGATACTTTGTTTAGCTGACTATCTGCCCATGCAGTCCAGGTTGCTTTTCTTGTCCATCTTCTGTGAGCTGTGGTTTCTGCATCAGCTCAATTTAAAACTGTTTAGAGTAACAGACCGTCCTCTTTCCAAATTGAGCCTCCCGTCAGATCCCCGAACCCCTGTTCTGGAAGTGCCCTGCACGTGGACTGTCTCCCCATTAGGATGGACCCTTTCCAAATGGCCTCTTTGTTCCATAAGGGAAAAGAGATTTTGTGGTTCTTTCTCCAGTTCCTCAGGAATTCTCACAGCTATCTGGTTTCCTTGGTGAAACGATTACGTTTCTAGCTGGAATTCAAGTTACAAGGAATCACTAAGTACACAAAGAACTAAATCACTGTGTAAGAATTTGTTGGGCTCCTGAATGAAACTGGGTTTAAGTTCAAGAAGACCTGATGGGGGACCAACTCTTCACTTTCCTGCTTTCAGCACTGATGTCCTGTGTCCCAGATGTGCACTTATTCCTGTCAAACCAGGTGATGGTCACCCCATCTAATAGTTCAGTCTTTCTCATAATGCTGACATGCTTCCATTTGTTTTCAAAATTCCTTTCCAATTTTATTCTTTTGTTTCCAGAATATGGAAAGTACCTTCATGCACTAATCATTTAAGACTGGAAGAGTGACACAGGTTGACCACTTATCGGCTGGTCAGAGCACCAGTGTGATGAGATGTCTTCTGCCGGAGACACAGATGGAGTCCTGAGTGGCAGCCCTGGGTCAGTGAAAGGCTTGGGGGATGGTCCATGCTATGGGGTGTCTGTCCTGTGGAGACAACCTACTGGAGGGGGAGGAGCTTCTGTGCTGGTTTTCATGTTTTTTCTGACCCAGGACTTTCTCCCTGACTGTAGAAACAGGACTGAGATTCTCCATGAATATTCTACGTGTGTGCATGAGGACTGGGAGCCTCTAATGCCTTTTCTTCGTTTCTGTTTTTGAAGGTGGTATGATAATTTCCTCTTAAGGGGATAATCACAATATTTTGTAATGGGAGCAGTAGATGGAAACCCTGTAGCCAGATCTTGAACACCAGGATCTTTCCAAATGTGACTTTCTGGAAATACCACTGCACTGTGCATCTTGTTTTTTGGTGACTATGGTGGGGAACTAGGCACCTGCATTTTCTCAAATATCACTATAATTGTAACTGTATATATGGGTTGTGAAATTTTTTTTGAAGATGAGAGTGTAGTCATTATTGAGAGGAGATTCGAAATGTTCTGGTGTTCTCACGTTAACAACATCCTCAGTGTTTTACTGTCAATGCAACCAGAGAATCAGTTCCTCAGACAACTGCCATTCAATTTCTTGTTGGATTTTTAGGTTAGATGTCATACATTTTTCATAGCGTTACTTCTAGATATTTCATCTTTTAAAAAAGGTGTGTTTGTGAAAGGAAACATAAACTTTGATTTGGCTGGGGATATAAGAAAATGCGATTTGATTTTTGTATATTTTTAATATATTTGATTTAATTTTTGTTGATTATTAGTTATTTTGTGTAATTGGTCCTTTGGCCTCTTCTTTGGTATCATTTGTGGGTCTTACAGCATTTTAAATCTGATAACTCTTTGAAGAGGCAATTGGTCTCCTCGTCCCATTGTCTCATCCAACCTTCCTGCTGGGGCTGATTTTATTTCTCATCCAGCGTTTCCTCAGCCCTCACACCAGAGCTACCTCAGGACACTAACCGTGTGAAGAACTTTCCCAGGACAGGTAGTGTGATCCTGAAGGGCAGCGTCTGGGCACCTGGTGTGGCAGGAGACACGTTCCGTTCCGTAGGAGGTTCAGGAGAAAAGGGAAAGGAGCATAAAATGGAACCAAAGGGATCAGGAGGCCTAGTACTGAGTTGGGAGGGGAATGAGTGAACTCAGGGGAAGGGGCACAGCAGGGATTTCCACCTCCCACTCAGCTGCCTTCCCTGGTGCTTGGGATGTACCACATGAGGTCACCAGGTGGCAGCAAAGGCCTGGACTGGGGCAGGTGACTGCTGTGGTACACTAGGCTTGATGATGTCCCAGGAGCTGCTTCCCTTTCAGCCCTTCTAAAGGGTTATTGGGAAAGAGTCCAAATCCATTGTACTCCAATAAGTCCTTCTGTAGTGGGAACAATAAATGAACCCCAGGGCTCAGACTCAGGCCCCAATCTCAGGCAGTGCAGAGGCAAGGGACAGAATAATGCATGATGGCCTACACTTCTTGGGAGGACCAAGAAGATTGAAGGGAAGTGAGAAGTATCCTGCTTTGCCTTTATATCCCTTAAACCAAGTTAATGTATCTCTCTCAGCCTGTCTTGGACCCTGTCCTCACCCTCATCCCTCACATAAGGAGTTGAATCCTAAGATTCGTCAGCAGGAACCTCCATGTCTTCTGCAGGAGGAAGAACAGGGACCTCCAAGATGAGCTCCATTTCTTGGTCTCTGTCCTGTGCTCCGTCCCTCCTTAATCAGGAAAAACAGGTCAAAGAGTTTTAATCCCACAGGTAAGCTCTTCAGCATAGGGATGCAGAAGTATCTACAATGAAGGACCAGGGCAGAGGGGTCATTAGGAGTGCAGGTACAGGAAGCAATTTGCATGGAGGCCCCTCCCCACTCTCAGGCACAGGGAGGGGATAAGAAGGTCTGGGGGAGACAGACCCAGGGTTGGGGTCTCAGAAGGCAGTGCTCTTGGGGAGTCTCCACCATGGCCTGGGCTCTGCTCCTCGTCACCCTCCTCACTCAGGGCACAGGTGAGGCATCCACGGAGGGGACCATGGGAATATCTGGGCTGATCCTTGGTCTCCGCCTCCTCAGGGACAACTGGGGCCCCAGAACTGAACTCACCAGAGTGTGTTTTTCCTCTTTTCAGGGTCCTGGGCCCAGTCTGCACTGACTCAGCCTCCCTCAGTGTCCGGGACTCCTGGACAGACTGTCACCATCTCCTGCACTGGAAGCAGCAGTAGCTATATCTCCTGGTACCAACATCACCCGGGCTCAGTCCCTAAACTCCTGATTTATGCTGTCAGTTCTCGGCCCTCAGGGGTCCCTGATCGCTTCTCTGGCTCCAATTCTGGCAACACAGCCACCCTGACCATCTCTGGGCTCCAGGCTGAAGATGAGGCCGATTACTACTGTAGCTCATATATAGGCAGTTACACTGTCCACAGTGGTTCAAGTTCATGGGGAAGTGAGACCAAAACCTCCTTTGAGCTCACGCCAACCCCTCACCCCTAACTCAGGCTCTCTTCTATGTTTTTTCTTTGTCAGCATTTTATTTTGAAATCATGACAAACACATAAAAATTTAAAAATTGCTTCAAGGTCTCTTGTAGAACGTTTCCTGATTCACCAATTTTTAGCCTTTTACTGTATTTGTTTTCCATTATATCTGTTTATTTCTTCTCTGTCTTTCTGCTAGTGTGTGTATATCTATGTGTGTAAATACATGGATATACACAATACATAAACATACATACAAAATACATATATACTCACAAAAATTATTTATTTTCTAAATCATTTGAGAGTAAAGTATATCCACCAGCTAAGCTTTAATACTTTTTCTTTAGATAGAGTTCATATTCCATACAATTCCTCACTTTATGTGTATAATTCAGTTGTTTTTAGTATATTCACGTTTGCACAGCATTACCACTCTATAATTCCAGAACATTTTCATCCCCCTGAAGAAACACCTCATCCATAATCAATCACTCCCCATTTTCCTAGTCCTTCAACCACTTACAACCATTAATTTATTTTCTGTCTCTATGGATTAGCCTAGTGGGGACATTTCACATATAGAATCCTATTGTACGTGGCTCATTGTGTCTTGCTTCTCTGGCTCATAACAATGTTTTTGATGGCTCATCCATATTGAAGCGTATAGTACCAGTACTTCATCCCTTCTTATGACCAAATAACGTTGCATTGTATGGATACACTTCATTTTATGTATGCATTAATCAGTTGATGGGATCTCATTAATTTTTCTGTCTCTTCTCTCACAACACAAGGGCAAGCAATCCTTTCAGGATCTTAGGTGTGAAAATTCTAGGTTCCCATCACTTCACATGTCAAAGTAAAAATATCATATTCACTCTCAGGAAAATCTATAGGAGGCATCAAGGCTACCTTCTCTCATTCTTAGAGCCTCCTGAGGATGCCACATTGAGGAGCATCTCTCCTTTTCTCACTGTTGTTTGAACGTGTTGTGGAAATGCTGGAGTGGGCAGGGTGGGGCTCTGGGCCTCAGCTTCATCAAAACAAGAGGAGACTTTGTCCCACCATTGGCTCTTTCTTTTCCTTTTCCTGTTTCTTTGGTCAAAGCATCTAGGTGACTGTTTCTACCATATGTAAAGGCTTCAAGGGCAGGTGTTTCACCTTATACTTGCAGTTTCTCATGAAAACTTTCTCCACATCTACATGTGTTATGAGTTCTTGTCTATGAAGCTAAGGAAATGAAAAGTACTCAGGTACATTTCAGTTTATTTTTCTAAATTCCTTTTTTTTTTTTTTGCAAAGAAGATCAGCCCTGAGCTAATATAAATTGCCAATCCTCCTCTTTTTGCTGAGGAAGATTGGCCCTGGGCTAACATCTGTAGCCATCTTCTTCTACTTTATGTGGGACACCACCACAGCATGGCTTGACAAGTGGAGCATCGGTGCACACCAGGGATCAGAATCCACAAAGCAGAGCGTGCACACTTAACCACTACGTCACCGGGCCTGCCCCTTTTCTAAATTCCCTTGGTTGTAAAATGCATTGCTCCTAAAGAAGAGTGTGTGAAATGAATCAATAATCAATGAAGCCAAAGAGGGTTCTGGAAAGGTGTCCACACAAAGATGAATTGGTTTAATGAGCCTTGAGGTGTTTTTCTTCATGTGTCTTATGTTTGGTGTTTGTTGAGCTTCTGGACGTGTGGTTTCTTTTTGTCACTTTGTCTCCTCTCCTTTGGGAATTCCGCGTATAAGTGTATTAGGCCATTTGAAATGGTCCCACATTTGCTGATAATATTCCATGTTATAAAATTCATTTTTCCCTCTGTGTTTACCTTGGACAGTTCCATTGCTGTGATTTGGAGGTCACTAGTTTATTCCCAATGCCTCATCTGCCATTATCTCATCTAGTGCGGTTTTCATTTGTACTTCTTCCACTTTATGCTTCATTATACTTGTACTTTTTGCCTGAGAATATCTGTCTTTTCATTCTTTCCAGAGGCTTTGTTCCTATTTCTTGTAACATTTTTTAAAAGCGCTTTTAACGTCTTTATAAGATAACTCCAACACATCTGTCAGATTGGCATCAGCCTCTGTTAATTATCATTTCCATTGTAATGGAGCTTCTCCTGGTTCTTCGTATCTTGAGAGATTTTGGATCCTATCCTGGATAAATCCAATACTCTGTGATTAACTATGGGTCTTGTTTAAATCCTATTTTGATATTTTTGTGTTAGCCGACTATCTGTGCAGTTGAGTCCAGGCTGCTGGTTCTAGATTCTTTTTGTGAACTGTGGTGTCTATGTCAGAAACACTTATGAAATTTTTGACCTGCTAGTGGGATCTGTCCTAAATGTGAGCTACAGAGTGGCTCATCTGGGATCTGGGTGGTGGCTATCCCTAAAATCTTTTCCTAATTTCTATCGTATCATATTAGATGCATGCACGTGCAGATCAGAGAGGAGCCTAGGAATCATAAACAATTTTCTGGATTACTTTCCAAGCTTCTTCATCTCTATGATCTCCTCACTATTTCTGCCTACATGGCATTGGGTTTTTGATTTTCTAGCCAAAACACATTGTCGCTTTTATTACCCTGCCCTGTTAGTTCCTTCCTGTGTCCAAGCCAAGTAGCAGAATGAAAAGAGGAACAAAACAATGGTTTGATTGTCACCTTGCTGAGAAAATACCTCCCCAAATCAGAAAGGACTGTCTCCATGACCTCCACTGTCACTGCTGTCACCACAGGAGAGGTGCCTAGAACCTGGGCCTTGGAGAACAGAGAGAGAAAAAAACAAAAGAAAAGGAAAATGTGAGTATCTTTCATTTGCTCTGAGCACTAGGAGCTCTCTTTCTCATCTTCAGGCCAGAACAAGGGAACATCTCCTGCAGCACCTTCTGCCTCATGCTGGTACCCCTTCCAGCCCTCTGGCTGCCTTGAGTCTCACCCAGTGTCAATGAGATTGCAAATACCATTGTGTTCCCACTGTCTGCCTCCTAAGATTAACTTTTTTAGGTACTCAAGTGTCTGCCCCATGGATTGTGTTGGGGTTTTAGAGATGCATTTGGTGGGGAAAAGGGTAGTGTATGTTTCCTACACCTTAAATGGACCTCGAACCTGCTAAAACTGTTTTTATTTTGAAAAATTAAATCAGTTTGAACCATCAACAATAGAAAAACAGAAAGACGAACAACAGTTTTAAAAGCTATTTAAGGAGAGAAACAGGAAGAACTGTTTTCATAATGGTTCTTCATTATTCCAAGGCTCAGAATTTATTTTTATCTTGGCCTGTGGACGTGATGAGGGGAGGACAACAAGGAAAAAACACATTTGGTGACCAGAGAAATAAATGAAACATAAAGTCGAATGCAGTATTCAGATAATATAAAGTCCATAATAAACATCACTGCTGTGCACATCGAAATGCCCCATTATCAAACCTGCACCCTCCTCTCTCCTTAATCTCCTCTTAGGTCCTGTACAAAGGCAAATGGCCTTTATCATTTTCACTTCTCATGTTGAAAATGAGAAGCTGAGAAAGGATAAGTCACTTGATCACGAGTGGAAACAGCAGAATGGTGAGAAACAGATTCGGGGTGAGGATGGTGGCTCCTGCCCAGTGCTTCTTGTTCCCCCATGGAGCTCCCTCACACCGCTGCATCTGATGCTCTGTGCTGCATGCAGGTGAGCAACTGGGAAGTGACCGATAACCTTGTGAAATTCAATGCTGCAGATGTCTCAGAACAAAGAAGTAGGGGTGGGGACATGACAAGCCTGCAGCTCAGGAGACCCCACCACCACCCACCAACCAGCAAATAGCAGGTGTTTCCCTGGAGGTGGGCAGAGACACTTTCCTAACAGTAGAGCAGCCCGAAAGAGTGGACACCAGCAGAAGACACAGAAAGGACTGCCCAGGGCCTGGGATGGTCACAGAGACACCTTCACATCACAGCAGAGACTCTGAAGGACCAGGAGTCATCAACGTGAGACACATCAGCTGATTTTTCTCTCTCGTGTAAGTCAGGAATAAAAAAAATTCAGGTTCCTAATCTTCAGGAAATACACGTCAAAATCTTGAATCTGTTCTGATAAGCTGGCCAGGGATAGAGAAGTATCTATAATTAAGGACCAGGTCAGAGGAGATGAGGAGAGGCTGGTGCAGGAAGCAGATTTCCATGGAAGCCCCTCCCTCCTCTGAGGCAGGGGGAAAGGATAAGAGAGGTCTGGGGGAGCCAGGCCCAGAGTTGGGGTCTTAGAAGGCAACCCTCTTGGGGTGTCTCCACCATGGCCTGAGCTCTTGTCCTCCTCACCCTCCTCAGTCAGGGCACAGGTGAGGCCTCCAGGGAAGGGACTAGGGTGACATCTGGTCTCATTCTTTGGTTCCTCCTTCTCAGGCTCACCTGGGGCCCAGCAATGAACTCACCAAAGTCTGTTTTTCCTCTTTTCAGCGTCCTGGGTTCAGTCTGCTCTGACTCAGCCTCCCTCAGCAGTTGGCAATCTTGGAAAATCAGTCACCATCTCCTGTGATGGAAGCAGCAGCAATATTGGGGGTTATAACCTTGTTTCCTGGTGCCGACATCACCAGGGGCTGTCCCCAGACTGCTGACTTGTCATGTAAGTTCTCAGCCTTCAGGGAGCCCTGATCACTTCTCTGGCTCTGTACCTGGCAACACGGCTTAGCTTACAATCTCTCAGCTCCAATTTGAGGGCGAGACTGATTGTTACTGCTACTCATACACAGGCTCATACTCATACACAGTGGTCCATGTTTGAGAGAGGGAGACCTAAACCTGCCTTTCTCCCTCCTTGCTCCAAAGATGCGTCCGCACCTCTCTGCATAGGGGGCCTCAAGCAACATGGCCCTGAGAATTCAATTCTCTCTCACTTCCTCTCCCCTCCCACAATGAAGTTCAAAAGCAAACACCTTCTGAGATGAATTATCAGTGCACAATGAAGGCATCCTCTTTGTCTGTGTGATGTTGTCCAAGAGGCAAATCTTTTGGACTCTTTCACCA